TCCTGACATGGGTAGCAGTAGCAGGCGCGAAAACAATCAACAGCCATATGGCGGTCAGAAGTTTAAGCCTGCAGGGGGTGGGGTCTTAATTAGTGGTATTCATGCTGACATTTACAAGGTGCCGTTCAATCTGCTTTAAAATCTGATGGCTGGCAGTGTTTCCCGAAACCCTAAATCCCAAAAGGAGCCCTACAGACGGGACTGTCAGACAGTGCCCGGTCTCCCAGGCTGCACAACCGACTGTATGGCTGCCTTATACCCATGGGCTCCATAGTAGTTCGTTTTTGGGATTATCTTACAGGATTCTGTATGGGAGTTTCCGAAATTAGGGGTGCCTTCTGTTGGGTCCTTATAATAAGGATCCTACTATTTAGGGTACTATATCAGGGTCCTCAATTTTCGGAAACTCCCATATATGAACCCCAAACAGGAACTACTATGGAGCCTATGGGTACAGACACATCACAAGGCCCTTGAGCAGGTCAATTGAAGCAGTGAGTTCGCTGGCTCTGGCACCTGCTACTACAGAGGGTCTTAGTAACAGTAATTAGAACAGGGTTTTGGAGCACGTGATGCTTTGATTATAATACAATACCAAGGTGACTATTAAGGCCCCTATTTTACTGTCTGAATGTGGCTGAAAGGAACTCGACCTGGTCTCCTGCTCGCCACGTTTGGAGATGACTCTGTCCAAAACTGCCCACAGCTGCAACATTTCCACGTGATTTTTCGCTGAAGGAGCCTCCTCGACGACGCCTCATAGCCTGGTTTGCTCCACCAGGTTCTGGTAATGAGAGTCGCATGATGCCATTTGCGCACAACGCCTTTTTCCGTGCCATCTTCAGTGGCTGCTATGTGTGCCAGAACGGCCTTCGAATGACATCAACTTCTCCCCACGAGTGCCAGTGCCCGATGCAGAGAAGAAGGGAACCCAAAATGGCTCGGTCAAAGCTGCAACATGTAGAAAGGAGATGGTTCTCGACATACACAAGTAACTCTGTGAAGTTCGTGAAGGTTTGCAGTTCAGCAGTGGCTTGCCCTCACGAAGTTATTCTTGAAACTTCCCCCCTTCCCCCCTTGTCTGCTGAACAGGCCGGGCAAAGTGTTCAGGCTCGAAACACCGTGTAAACGCAAGCAAATACGATGAACGATCTAGTGCATCGTGACATCTTTTCTGGCCAATTCGACTTCCTCAGCTGCTTCCCTGTTGTTATTTTCCTATTCAAATCATGAACCCACCGCTGCATGCATGACCATGCTTGCATCCAAAGTCAATTTCCACATGTTAACACTGTGGAGCGACTTCACTGGAATCGTTCCCCATCTACTACCCAAAGGGTCCTAGGCACTGTTATGGGGGATACTTCCCCAAATCATGATAGTAATTGCTAATATAGAAACCCTACATTCTACTATAATGGTACTTTGGACCGTTTGTGCTACAAGGATCCGAACAGAGTGACAGCGACTCGGGCCTACAGGAGTATCCCATAAAGAGGACCCATAGAACGCTGCAGTACCCCGGGCAGTACCTAAGTTATACATCAGGGTCCTCGCTGAGACTGTGAGGGACTTCAGCGGTTCACCCGACCCAATCCCTACACCCTACAGGCTTCCCTAAACCCTAAACCCTAAACCCCTAAACCCTGAACCCTACACCCTAAACCCGAAAGCCCAAGCCGAAGCGCAGACCCGAAACAACCCTCTCGGGAGTTGACAAGTTGACAAAAGCTCGGGTGGAAGAAAGCTTGAACTGCTGATCACCCCCTGCTCAAACGTAGTGAGGAGTCCAAAGTATCCAACCATCTTACAGGGGCTAGGCACTGATATGGGGGATACTTCCCCAAATCATATTCGTGATTCCAAATACATAGGTTTGGAAAGTACGGGTTTCTATGAAGTTTCTGCAAAGTTTCAATTCTGCTGGGGTTCTCTGGGGCAGTAATGTTTAAGTAAGACCCAGCACTTCGGAAAGCTACGAGACTTCGTATTGAAATACCAAGAGTTCAGTTCCTGGTTTTTTTTGGGGGTTAGAGTTCGGGGCCTCAGCCAGTAGCATGCGTAAATACAGGTATAAGTACCATTATCGGTGTTCTTTAGGTCATATCATGTAACCCTAACCTAAACCCTAATATCCTAAAACCCAAAACCCTAAAACCCTAGACCCTAATATGACTTTAAGTGCCGTCCGCCGGACCCTCTGCACCCAGACCTCCCCACACCCGATTTCTACCGCCGTGATGAGGGTTTAGGGTTTAGGGTCCAAATAGTTAGTCCTTATTTAAGGTTGTTGGTATATACCGAAAACGGCCCAGATGTACTACGTATAATATTGAGTACTTGAACTCTTAGGGTTGGAGTGCATAGCCACGATCAACGACCAAACTTATAGGTTTAGGGCTTAGGGTTCTGCATTCTAGTTCTAGGCTTGGATTGGACGAGCTTTATGGCGATAGATCCCATGGCACAAAACTGGGCAACCCAAGAACGAACCTACAATGGAAATTATCAGTACTATCGGTGGGCAAGACCCTGCAGTACCCCATGCATCCCAAATTGTGGGAATGAAGCCCTTCTATTGTCAGGCAACCCAGGCCAGGCCAAAACTGACACAAGTTTCGATTAAGTTAGCAGCCTTTTAGTAGGTCGATCTACAACTATCTTTCGGGACATAGACTTCCTTGTATAGTAGGAGCTCTGAGGAACAGTACTTGCAATTATTCAGGCTTGCATATCCAAAGGGTCCTAGGTACTGTTATGAGGGACACCTCCCCAAATCATAATAGCATTTCCTGATATTATAGAAACCCTACATTCTACCATGTAGGTACTTTGGGCTCTTTGGGATATGAGACGTTCAAAAAAGGGCCTAAATCCTAAACCCTAAACCGCGCCGGATTCCTCTGAAACTTGGGCCCCAGACTTGACACATGCCCTGCACGGCTTTCGGGGTGCAGAGCGCTGTCACCTGAATGGTTAGTATGGTTTGGGGGATTTGGGCTTGAGGGTTTAGGGTTTAAGCTTTGGGTTTGGGGTTTAGGCTAGGGGTTTAGGGTTTACGGTTGCCGGGGTTCAGGGTTCACGGTTGAAGCATTCAGATTGATGAAGCTTGGTCTTCGTCAGAGTTAGCCTGACAACACGCCTAAGGGCATATACTTTGCTTCTTCAAGCAGCCCCTACGGTTGATGATAAAAATCCTACTAGACTATAGGAAATATGGTATATTCCTTATAAGTTATGGGTAATGCAGGAATTTATATCATCAACCTAAGGGCCCGGAAGTATCCCCTCATTACAGTACCTATAGCACCCTTTAGGTTACGAAAGCCTATAGTAGGAACTACCGTTATGATTTGGGGAAGTATCCACCATAAAGTACCCCAAAACCCTTAAATCCCTCAAAAGGAACCCTAAACCTTGGGAAGTACCCCCCATTACAGTACCCAGAACCCTTCGGGTGACGAAAGCCAAGAAGAAAGGCCTTCCCCATGACTTGCGCGAAGTGCTCCTGCTGATGCCAAGATTCAGGGCTTCGGGCCTTTGGGCTTGCAGGGCTCAAGGCCTACCTTAACCCGGAATAACCTACCTTTTTGGGGTTCCTTATTATGATTTCCTTATATAAGTCCTGAAAAGGTAGGTTATTCCGGGTTGAGGTAGGGATTCGGGGGTTTAGGGCTTGGGGTTTAGGGTTCCATTTAAAGAGCACGTTAGCGAGAATGAGGATAGGGATATCCACATAGGCCCCGTGATAATGAAGGCCTTACAGGTAGGGATATCACTGTACAATATTTAGTATGTTTTATGTGAACAAAAATAAAGGATGCTATGTACAGCACGTAGAAGAAGTCTTCTCAAAGTTGGTACCTGCTGTCCACTCTTACGAGATGAGGAGTTTCACCAGATGTCGGAGGCTAGCATAAGCGCGACAGCAAGGATGTGAGTATCCCTATCCTAAAGGACCAAATGATCCTTAAAAGTACGGGCGATGCACCCTCATACTCTGAATCCCTGTGAAATTACATGAGCCTTACACATTTTGCGGTTCATTACGCCCGTACATAGCATAGGCATGCCGAGATAAGGTGGCTTTCCGATCACAGCCAGGCCGTTAGTCCGCGAATCTAACGACCCCCCGCCCTTTAGGTTTCTACTGTTGATGATATAAATCCTGCATTACCTTAAGAACCCTAAACTATGGAAATTACGGTATATTCCTCATTATGGGTAATGCAGGATTTGTACCATCAACCGTAGGACCTAGAGTAGGCCCCGTTTTCCTTTTTTTAGGGTTCAGGCCACGTAGAAGCCCCTTTAAACCAAAAATAAAAGCACCCTTTTCATTCCTAGGTTACTCTTGGGTTTAGGTTTTGATCAAGGGTAGACTGGGGTTTACAATAGGGCTTAGGGCCTGTATGGATTTAGGGTCGTTTAGGGCTCAGGGTCTGCAAGGGTTCAGGGTAGTGGTTCAGATTTGCAGAGTTATGCAGCGTCTAACAGAATCTTTGTGGGGCTTTGTCGGGATACCTATAGTATAGGGCTTGACCGGAATTCAAAGAGCCAGCCCGCTTCGCGAACGGCATCTAGACCTAAGAGTAACCTAGGGATAAAAAGGATGCCCTTTTTGGGTTAAAGGGGGTTATAAGGGAACCTAAACCCCAAAAAAGGGAATAAGGGCCTACTCTGGGTCCTAGGCATTAACGTGCGGAGAACCCTAAACCCTAAACATCCCTCCCCCCATCATCGACCCTGAACCTGAACCCCAGTTTGGGTTTAGGGTTTAGGGTTTACTCTTACCAGAACTTCCCCACACCCGCATACAACCTGGAAGCCAAGCATATCGAGAAGAAGGCGGTGGTGGCGAACAACCACTGATGTCAAGCTGTCCTGATCTCTGCTCACCTAACTTGCACACAGCCTTGCATTTTTGATCTTTGCATGCCGTGCGCTTGCGCAGGAAGGGTTGAGGGCTCAGGGCTCAGGTTTTAGGGTTCTGTCAGGGCTTAGGATGTTAGTGGGTTTAGGAGCCGCAGGTGCATGGCTGACTCAGCCAAGCCCTGCAGTAGTTCAGGAGTCCCATGTGGCTTGGACGACGACTCGCAAGATCCAAGGGCCTCAGGGGCTGAGTAGCCTGGCCCAAAAAAAAATCGATTATAGTAGGATTGTATATCTTTCCTTTTCAATTATAGTAATTAGGATTGTATAAGCCCCAAAAGGTTTACGGTTATCCACCCTGCAGGTAAGTGGCGCAGTTGAAGCTCGTTTCGTCGGGAGACATGTGCATAGACAACATGTCTGAAAACAGCTGCAATACAAGCTGCCAGCGATCGGCCCGCCAACACGAGCAAAGTGCAGCATTGAAGGTAATCCGGTTGGGAATGGCACCGACCCGGTGCATGTCGATAAGCAGGCATAACACTCGGGTCCACTGGAATCCCTTCTCACATGCACTGATGGTAGCACTGAAGGTGGTGGTGTTCGGTCTCAGCTTTGACTGCTTCATTTTCGTAAACAGTGTTAGGGCCCACTGCCACCTTGCTACCTTCTCAGCTGCACTTATGGTCGCATTGTAGGAAATCTCGTTTGGAGACAGTCTGGCAGACTGCATCTCGAATAACAGAGCAAGGGCTTTCTGCCACTGCCATCCTTTCTCACAGGCGCTGATTGCAGCATTGCAGGTGACTGTGTTTGATTGCAGCTGCCTGTCACGCAGCATCCGGAGCAGGTCAACTGCGAGCTGCCAGAAACTGGACTTTTCGCAGGCACTGATGCAGCAACCGAATGTAATGATGTCAGGCTTTACCATCGCATCCGGCATCTCTGCCAGCTTGTAAACCGCCTGAGCCCAAACACCTTCCTTATCGCAGGCACTCACGGTGGTGTTGTAGGTGATGTGGTCAGGCACAGAGTTTTGTATTGGTACAGAAGCGAAAAGCTGAAAAGCCACTTGCCAGTCTGCTGCAGCTGTACTGATGGTAGCATTATAGATGATGGTGTTAAGCTTCAGCTGACTGAAAGCCATGGTTGACAGGACTTGCAGGGCTAACTGCCAGAGGCCGGCTTTCTCACAAGCCCCGATGCTGGATGCGTAGGTCAGCTGGTCGGGATCATGTCTGAAAGCGCCTGCTGCAGCCAAAAGTGAGATAGCCCGATTCCACTGCGTGGCATTCGCAGGTGCGCTTGCAGCGGAAGTGTAAACCTCGCTCCCAGGTATTGCTTTCGATTCCTCTTGTCTACACGAACCCCGAGTTTGACAAGTTTGTCTTATACAGTCAAGCCGACTGTAGAACAAGCCTAGTAGGCCCCGCAACAACCTGTATATAAACATGTAAAGGCCTTAGCAATTAGAATAGGGTTTTCGGGTACACGATAACATAACTGTTACCAGGAATTCGGAGTTCTGCTAACGTGCAGAAGGGTAGAAGGACCCGGGGAAACCTATCTTCCAACATATAAATATCGGGGCCATAGTGTGCGAAAAGACTTGTTCGAGGGGGAGGGCACATTATAGTTAGTATATAACAGCCGCTGCATTAAGGAACCCCGTATAAGTATAGGGGCCTGGACGGTTAGAATGGAAATTTGGGGTATACTTTACTTTGCAATACTGCAGCACATATGATAAGAAACCCTTATTTGAGCATATTGGTACTGTACTTATTGAGGCCTCTACATTACCCGACACGACCGCTCATGATCTGTCAAAGGTAGAAGAGCGGTTTCTCAGTGGGTAGGCCTACTGCGAGGAAGGAATGCACCGCAAAAGAAGTTCGTCACCACAGGAAATTCCGGCAGTAGTAAACAATACCCACCCTCGTGAAGACACTTGCAAAGGCTTTTTGGCATCTTTCCTATCATCGAAACCTGTCAGTATGGATATCTATGGTAGCGGTAGTAAAGGTGCATGAACCAAGCTCACAAAGAATTGGGCCTACATGTATACCGAAACCCTGCCAAACAACCCTAAACCCGAAATACCATGTTGTGATCCCTTAGTTTCAAGGCTTAGAGCCCTGAACCCGAAACCCTAAAACAATAGGTCTTTGGATCGCCAGGTTAACACTAAACCCCTAAACCCGAAAGGTCAGAAGCACCCAACAAATCCTGAAAAACAAAAACTGCTTGAAACTATCAGAACCTATTCTGATGGTTTGTGGGGACCCCACCAACAAGAGTGATTTGGTAGCTGAAGGTGAGCACGAATGTCTGGCAGGGCAAGTGGCCACTTTGTTGGGCCAAATGCTGGCCGCCGGCATCACCTCCGTCATATGATCAATCATGGGTTTTAGGTCTGAGGGGTGTGCGGGTCAATTATATCTGACGGCTTTGTAGATGTTTTGGATCTTTACGCTGTGAGAGCGGCGAGATAAGCCCCAATCCCCAAGTACCAACGAACCTACTTCCTGATATGGTACTGTCTGCTCTTTAATAGTTGTCGTTTTCAACCGTGCCCATTTTTTGTGAAAATAATCTGCGCTCTATATTAAACAACGAGAGAAAAACATTATGCCAACTCGATATAACCTAGTTTGTGTAGAAGTTCAACGCCTCCAGAAGACTCAGGCTTCTCTGCCAGGGCCCCTCTTGCCTAGTTCACGGTTGGGATAGGATGAAAACTGTAATTTCTTCTTCCTTATTGGGTTTAAGTTTAAGTACCCATAAAAACGTAAAATGTTACCCAACTATGACAAAGTTGCAAGGCAGCGGCCGTCGCACCGTAGCTGAAGGCATCGGGGACGAACCGCTGAGTTTGGAGTTCTGAAAGGAGATCGAAGGCTAAATGCCAGTGTTCCTGGGTTTAGGGTTAAGGATTTGGGATTTTTTTTTAAAGTGCAATGGCTTCTTTCTGGGATTTGGGATTTAGGGTTCAGGTTTTAGGGTTGAGGGTTTAGGAACTTAGTCTAAGTTATCAGAATGGGGATCTTTGGTAAATAGTATGGTTCCCCTATTATGGTCACTTAAACTGAGTTCCTTAACAAGAACCCGGGTTCCGTACCACAGGCACTGATGGTGGAGTTGAAGGTTATCAAGTTCGGTGACGCGTGCCTGAAGTTCATTTCCCGAAGAAGCCGGAGGGGTTGCTGCCATTGTCTCTGTCCTTAGTTGCTGAGTTCATAAGCACCCAAGAGTATACACTTCCAGTTTCATAGCGGGTAATATTATCCCCAAAAAGTGTAAAGTGTATCCACTCATCTACGAAGTGTCTCATGCAGGTGGCCATCGAACTGCCGAAACTCTTCACAGTCAGTCGCAGGGACGCGTGGGCCAGCTGCTGCAACCCCTCCATCGCACGTGCCCAACTGCTGCGCTCCCTTCGCACAGCCATGGTGTGAGGGCAGGGTGGAGACCTTCATTGAAGGAACTCGCTTTTCGTTTTCTAAAGAACCAGTAATTTCCAAATTCGGAAGAGAGACGTTCAGAAAAAGAGGTACGTACTCTTTGACTTTCTGCAGCGTCATGCCTTGAGCTGAAATACGACAGCAGCCAAGCCACATTGGGTTCAGGGATTGTGGGCTTGCGGTTTATGAGGGTTGTCGAGCTTCAACACCGGACCTGGGACACCCTGCTTGAACGCACCTAGAGCAACCGAGGTGCGTGAAAAGTGTCCACCTTTATCCTAGATCCGTTCGCCAGCATCCATCGCATCCAAACATTGAAGGCTGGAACATTCAGAACAAAATCGTCGTGCAAAGATCGTTCTGTCAGACATGAGCTGTAAATCCTCCTGCCCTAAACCCTAGATCCTAAACCCGCCCTACGAGCTCTTCCGTCTACCCAAATAGTACATACTTTGGCCTCACAGTACCCCCCCCCATAAAGGTACATTGGGCCCAAAGTATATACCCTTTGGGTACATGGACCCTCAGGGAAACAGCTGGAGCTGTCCTGATCATGGCGATGCTCTTCCGACTTCCCCTGCGACAAGAGCGCAATTGCAAGGAGAGGATTCTGTTTCAGAAAGTCTACTGTAGGGGATGATGATGACTACCCATACTATTTTGGAGGTACCTTACTAGGTAAAATTGTAGTATCATGGGCCCGAAAACCCTATTCTAAGTATTAAGGCCCCTATATTATTGCGTAGATGGCTTGCTGCTTGAATGCTTCCATGGGTTCGGGGCCCGTAGCTGAACCCGAAGCTGTTGGTTCCTTTGCTGGTTCATGAGCTTTGGAGTTAAACTTCGATCCTAGAAATATGACGGCCCCGTTTACAATTAAGGTCTGTGTAAGCTTAGGTTTTGGCATATAGATACCCATCGCCAACCGAGACCTCACGAGTTTCTGGGCCGGGTTTTCAATCCAATGACTTCAAAGATGTTTGAGAGTGGGCCGAGAACTGACGGTGCAGGCCAACCAAAACGTGTCCGCCGGTTGATTCTGCTTTGTCGACGCCGGCATGTATGCTCTGATGTTCGTGAAAGCTGCGCCAATAGGACGAGTACGAGGCCTCGCTGGCTGGCTGCAGCACAGCATTCTACTGCAGCTTCCAAGGTCACTGCATCCACTGTCAGAGACCTGGAAGACATCTCCGCCAGCAGGAATAAAACCCACTCCCACTGCAGCGACTTGCGACAAGACTCGATGGCAGCATTGACAGAGAGGCCATTAGGGGGCAAAGCATTTCCGTCCATCTCTGCTAGCAGAAGAAGCGCAAGCTGCCACCTGCTAGCTTTTTCGCAGGCACTGATGCATGCACTGAGCGTATAAGCATTAGGTCTGATCGCTTCGGACGTGCCAGCTAGCAGGAACAGTGCTTGTTCCCATTGCCTGCACTTCTCACAAGCACTAATAGTAGAGCTGCATGCAACGACATCGGCTTGGACTTCAGCTTTCAGGCCAGAGAAAATGTGCAAGGCCCAGTCCCAGAACATTGCTTTCTCACCGGAGCTGATGGTTGCACTGTACACGATGATGTCAGGCAAGGCCGAAAGCATTGCCATGTGCTTCAACAGCCCCAACGACGCTTGCCACTCACTAGCTTTCTCGCAGGAGCTAACGGCAGACCCATACGCTACTTCACTGGGCACTGCTCGACCTCCACTGAGTTCGAGCAGAAGGAACAACGCCTGCTGCCATTGGCAGCTTTTCTCGCCAGCACTAACAGCTGCACCGTAGCTGACTCGGTTTGCCACCATGGCTGAAGCCTGAATATGCCTCAGCACCTTGAATGCGAAAGACCATTGCGTGGCCTTCTCGCCTGCACTTATCAAAGCACTTAGAGTAACAGTGTTGGGACGGAGGCCGACCTGTCTGCAGTTTCTCACAGTCGCTGCTGCCATCTGCCAGCGTGCATTTTTGGCATATGTGTCGACTCGAATGCTGTATGCGATCTCGTCAGGAGGCAACGATAGCACCCACATCTTCCACGTGAGCAAGCCAGCTTGAGGCCACACTCCCACTTGCTGACAGGCATTGCCCGCAGCTCCACAAGAGATCTGGTCTGGTTGCAGACCTGCAGCCAGCACGCCTCGTTCCAGCACACCGAGGGCGGATTGCCATCTCCTCTGCCGGGCGAAGCTGGTGATCTTCAGATTCTGTTGTAGTAGGCAAGGGTCCTCCCCCGGGAGAACTCCCATCTAGCCCTTCATGACCCTGGCAGCATCCTCCACCCTGTTCTTCTTCCTCGGCGAGCTGTCTGCAGCGTTGCCCTGGATGGAGAACTTCATACATGTTGGCCCATTTGCCCGAAGGCTTCACACAAACCGCATGCTGTTAGGAAGCTTCCTGAAGCGTGTCTTGCCGTGAACACTGTTACTGCAAGTCTGTACCGAAGGGTCTGTCCCATGCAGGCTGCATCATGCCTGTCTGCGCTATCTCGTGACATTTGCTGTTCTTGGTTTAGGATTTACACCTGTGCCTTAACACTTTGGCTGCTCGAAGGCAGTTGCGCATGCATGGGTAGTTGCAACCTCTACAGAGCCTGCTTCATCAAGCTATCCAGACATCCATGCTGATTCGTCAGACATCCCATATGGACACGAGCTGTGTTCTTGAACCGATCGGTTTAAATTTTGGGCTCTCTGGCTACGGCCTTCGCTGTTGGGATCGAGGTCACAATTTCGGAAGTTCTCGCATCGAAGACATGCCTTCTGATTCACCAAACCGATACCTGTGCCAGAGGGGCCTTAAGACGTATCTATACAATTTGTTGGCTCCTTCTTTTCATTTCTTTTTAATGAGCCTTAGACCCTATTCCAATCATTGATTAGCAGGGCCCCTATATCACTCTCCACTGTATGTCTGGTTTTGGCTATGCAAGTTTATATTATAGGATCTAACGATATTGGACCACATAATTGCTTCAACCCTCAAAACAGAAAGACAATGCATGATATGGGTCCTCTGTAGATACCGCGATCTTTGGTGTTGTCGTAGTTCTATTGCTTGCATGGGGCCCACAATACCTGCATTTGCAGAAGTTCCATTCCAGAAGTTTTCGAAAATGAGCTCGTTCAGGTTCGACCAGCATACTTGTGGCCTCACCAATGAGAAGGACAAGAACAACATGAAGAACGAGGAACACTTTAGTAGCTTGGTTGCCATGCCAGAACAGGGTCAGCCTCTGTAGATGTAAAGGGTCATCGAATACATACATATACAGATAATGTATATACACAGATAATTCCATCATACATATGCCAATATAATGTAATACTATGTATATGCAACCCCACATGGCTGAAGGTTTCTTACCCACCACCGAGTGAGCCCTCGGCCTGTGTCAGCCGTGCACCAAAAGCAAGTTGCGACACCGATGATAGCAAAACCAGGCGCCTGGGAAAGGGGTGGCTCCTACAGAGCTCTTCCTAGGCAAAAAACGTTTGAGCCAACAACTCATAAACATGTGGGTAGTTGCAAAAATAATGGCACCTTCTTGCGTACCCTAAATATTAGGTGCCGCACTATAATGAGGACCCAAAAAGGGACCACAAATTTGACAACCACCCATGTGCGAGATGAAGCCCTCGTAGAAACTGCCGATCTCCATACATCACGAGAACTCACAGTCCAATCGCGACATACTGTGGATGGACAATGGTTAGGGGTGCTTGAGGTCATGAGGATTTTGTCCATCAGCAGTAGCTGTCACTCTGCCCGGCACCCTAAAGCACGTAAATCCCCCTGGCCCGGCAGCTGTCATCGTGTCGGCCACTGTCAGCATGACATCAATACTCTCATCGTCTTCCCCGCCCTGATATATACACAAAAACATACATACATCCATCCATCCATGCATACATACATGTATATATATATATATATATATATATATATATATACATACACATGTATATATATATATATATATATATACACACATATGTATATACAACTACACAGACATACATGTCTACAATCATCAAAACATCACTCAACCCGCACGAACATTATGAAAGTTCGTCTTCATCACCACCAACGACGTCATCTTCACCACAGTGATCATCATCAGTCCATTTTAAGGGAGGAGAGAAGCCGAGTAGGTTAGTCGAAATAGAAGCTGCCGTGACAAGCGACCATCAACCCTGAGCCGTAGAAACGGGATTTAGGGTTTGCGGGTTTAGGGTTTCGGGGTCTTGAGTTTAAGTTTCGGGGTTTTTGGGTTGACGGGCTCAGGTCAAGGAATTTAGGTTTTAGGGGTTAAGTGATGTAAGGTTGTTGTGCTGAGGGCTTGGGGGCTTGTGGGTTCAGGGGTTTCTGGGCTTGTGGTTCAGGGTTGCGGGCCGTTTGCCATCAACCCTTGAACAACAAATGTCCAGTGACAATTGAAAGCTGACTGCCGCAAGTACCACCTAAGCCCCTAAACCCCGAGCCCCGAAACCATGGACTCTAAACCAAAGCCCCTAAACCCTAAACCTTAAGCCACTAGTGCAGCCTGGGCGCCACATCTTGAAGAGTAAGTAGAATTGAGTAGACAAGCGACAGAAGCTTATCGCAATGGTTTGTGTTGGTCTGAGCCAAACTTAGCTGCGACAAAGAGCGCCTGGAAACCATGGACAAACTGCAAACACCCGCTTTATGCTGAAAGAGTAACGATGTCCGTAGACGCGCGTCAGAGAAGACTGAATAGCAACAAACACCTTAACCCAAAACTCCCATCATAAACCCTTAACCGTACAAGCAGCCTTGTACAACATGCATCCGGTGACTAAGAGGGTCCATCTATACTACGATGATGCTACAGGTCCCCAAGCCACAATAGGGATGGTCTTTTGGGACCTAAATCCCAAAATGGCAGTATATACGGACCCGAATAACCCTCGGAGGCCAAAGAGAGCACGTCGACACGAGGATGCTACCCCGAAGGGGATCTTCAAGGCTTGCTTC